TTTTTTCAAATCAAAATAGTGCAAAAGCACATGTCGAAAAAACACTTTATCGCGTTCCATTTTTCACAAAGCAAAAGAAATTGTTGTTTAGGAAAATAATTGTGTATGCTGACTGAATGTTATCGAGAAATGTCGAAATTAATCACAAACTACCTGTTTCGTTAGTAATGACTACTAGAACTGTTTGCATTGCCATCTAACATTTGCGGGCGGAAACTAAGTTAAGGTCCTAATAGAACCGAAAAAGACTTAAACGCATCTTTATTTTCTAAATATTTCATTTTGCGGACTACATTCTTCGTAATCGATAGAATCACATTCGGAAAACGAGTTAGCAACGGCACAATTTGGTATTCAACACATGTTACCTCTCCGGAGCAATCAATTTAATTCTCTAAAAAAAAAATTATTAAATTAATAGTGGTCGGCACGTGGCAATTGATATGCATGGCAAAAGACACAGAATAATTTCATTGTGTCGTGATGGACGCTTTTCGACGTATATTTAATCCAATAGCATCAGCATTGAAGTTTTATCATTGTGGTAGCAATCTATGCTCCAGAAATCCTATTACGGTGAAACTGGGAATCATTAGTCTGATGCTATTAATAGCATATGTACACGAGAATTCGAGGGAGAATCCTTAATTTCCGTGTGTGCGCGTTACCGTTTCGTACAACGGAAGTAACGATGAAAAAATGACGAACCGCCGGCTCTTTCGACGTACAATTTCGTTTGACGAAAATGGAAAGCAGAAAACCGGTTAACGTTGTAAAATCCGACGGTAAAATTAATTCAAAAGCATTCGCAGCTTCGTCTTTCTTTCATAGCGAGATTGTACCTCGCTACATTTCAATTGTAAGAACGTAAAAAAGAATACAATGTCATTTTAAAAGATATTGCTAATAAAACGTGTAATAAAAAAAAGGAGAAGAAAAAAAGAGAGGGACTCAATTTTGGTAAAAGAGAGAGAGAGAGAGAGAGAGAAAGAGAGCACATCGTCACGATTGCACGACGAAATTAGCCTTAACAAGTCTCCGTCGAGATTTTGTAATGTCTCAGGAGAGAATCTTCCAAGCTAGCGAAACGTACGTAATCGTCCGTGTTCTATTCCTGATTCGTCCGAGACTCGTCGTAAAGGGCCTGAACTGGTGATGCAATATCCCACGATGTCGCTACACTTTACTGCAACTTACTTTTTAAGATAGTAACTCGGCGACGAGCGAACTCCAAGGCCGGCAAGGCCGACTCTTTATTCGCGATGTAACGAATCTCATTATTCTCGTTTTCATCCTTTTCGGAAAAGTAAAATGCACGTAATCAGCGGAAATTGCACGGGTCGCTTACTCAATTTGTGTGCGCGACACTTTAACTTGACAATTATTAACCCTCTTAAGTCATTGCTTAGGGTCTTTAAGAGAATATTATATCCAAAATAGTCTTTTCTTATATTTTACATGAACCCAAAAACCTAATTAAACAAAAAAATATTTAAGTTTTCAACATAAAATAATTTTTTATATTGGGGTCTCTCAAGATTCCATGCGTCGACTCGTGTTCGAAAAGTAGCGCGACGACTGTAAGGTTAACTGCATATTTAATTTAGTCATTTGACCTTTGCATACACATTGAAGGAAAAAAGAGCGAGGAGGAAGAGGAAGAAAAAAGAGAAAGAAAGAAGCAACTGAAAGTTTACGTTGTTAATATTTCCACGGTTTCATATGTCGATATTGGTATCGTAGAGAGAAACTTCCGATCGAGCCGTCGAAACCATAGCGACTGCGCCACTGCTCGCCGTTCACATTTACGCGAAATTGATAATATCGATCCTCGGAACGAAACGGGGTCGACGTCAAGCTTTTCAATAAATCGACCGTTACGGGGGCACTTTCGGGCGCCGCTTGGAACCAGGGCCGAGCCTCGCTCGAGGCGGAATTTCTTTGATTATCAGACACAAAGTTGCGTCTTTCGTCCTTCTTCTAACCCAGCTGCTGCCCGACGCGGATGATAATACGTACGGCGGATGAGTGTGCGCGTGTTCGCGTGCATGTATTCGCAGAGAGTTTTGCCGGAGGCGAAACTTTCGACGCGCCTTCAAAGAACCAAAGAACCCAAGTGCCTCTGTATTTGCGGCTCAAACGCGAGTCTGCGAGCGACTTCTTCCATCTTTCGACTTGCCCGTAACTTCCGTTCCGTCCGCAACGCGTGTGTAACGCCATCCTGATGGAAGTTCCGTCCGTTAGGACGCGGACTTTACACCTCGTTACGATGGGCACGCGTGCTCCGCGCGAGTCCCCGTTATCCTATTCCGCGACTTTCAATCGCGCGAATTGTATAACGCGGTAAAACAGCGCCGGGGAATAATGCATACCGTCGCGCGCTTGCGAAAAAGGAAACTATTGTCCGCGGGGAAGTCGTGAAAGTCACGTTGTTGAATGAGTCTGCTTTTCCGGGGCTTTCGAGATCTTCGCGATATCGTCTTAGCTTTTTATCGTGTCGGAAAGCTCTCTGCCGAAGGATATATCATGATAGACGATAAAAATATCAACGAATGCGCTGGATCATATTTTTGAAAGAATTGAAATATAGGTTGCAAATTAACTTATACTTGTTCTCCGTGGTTACACGTGAAAACTCATCCTATATGCGTATTTTTGACTTTGGATTATTGGATTGTACTACATTCCGTCGACAACACGGTGCAAAAATACATTGAGGAAAAAAGTTTGATATTTAA